TGCCCTTGTACTGTTCACCATGTAAGAACTTATTCACTATGTAAGAATTTGTTCACCATGTAAGAACTTGTTCGTTATGCTTCAGAAGATTGGAGACTGATGAGAATTAGGCTTGGGGTGGATTAATGATTGTGCATTGAGTCCCCTATATAGAATTTTATTGTTGTTAACAACCATTTGATCAATAAATATGAGAGATGCCCTCTCAAAAGAAAAAAGAAAAGTACCTAGGCCAGGGCCCACCCAGACCAAGCAAATCTGAATCTCTGGGTATGAGGGATTTTTCTTAGAGCTTCCAGGTGCCTCTAAAGTGTAACCAGGACTGGGACCCACAGTCACAGTTGGAGCACCAAAGGTACAGTGGCTGTGCCTTCCTTGTTCCTGCTGGGATCTCCATTGCCCAACCCAGATCTTAACACAGAGCAGGCCTCTGATGCTTATTCAGAATCAGTAAGTGCCATTTACTGTGTGACCCTGGATGATTAAGGTCCCGTCTCTTGGGCTCAGTTTCCTCCTCTGAGGAATGAGTGGATGGATTAGATAATCCCCAAGATGCCTTCTGCTCTGAAGAGCCAAAATTCTCAAGACCCTCTGGCATGGCACCTCCCGCCTCTCTCCAATGCCTGAGGCAGTGCCTGGCACACAGTGGGCAGTCAGTAGAGTTTCAGTGAATAAAGAAGTGGGTGGGTGAATGACTGATAGGAAGAAGAAGACAGGTTACCAGTGGTCCTTTTTAACCATCCAGAATATAAATTCCTATAGAAAACTCATTTCTAAGCCTGTAACTAATACCTGTCAATACATCTTATGCCATGGGAAGGGCACCCTCCTATTCCCAAGGGATGGTCCAATCTGGAATAAATTGTTCCAGGTGATTTTCAAGCCTTAGAAAGTTCTAGAGCTAATCCAGAGCCAGGACCTTGAGTGCCACTGGACCAGAGGGGCGAGGGGGAGTATGCAAGCAGTTCCCACAAAGGACTACCCTTCCCGAGGTTCAGTCTCAGCCACCCAGCCCCAGTTCCAGAGCAGCTGTTTGTTCTGGTGAATTTTGGAAGAGTGCCGAGGTGATACGGACAGGATCTGGCATGAGGTGCGGGACACCAGGAAGCCCCGGGGAGGTCCACTCGGGCTGTCATGGAGCAGGAGCCTCAGAGGCTTGGGGCTGACCAACAAGCTTCCTCCTACCTAGCCTGGGTTTGCCCCTCTTGCCTGGCCTCCCTAAGTGGCGGAGGAAAGCTATATCTTTCCAGTTGCTGAGTCATTCTGCTTTCTAACCCTAAAACAGTGACTTCTCTCATCTGGGGGAGGGTCAGCCTGAAGAAGCAATGTCCGGGCTCCCGCAAGTCCCGCTCTGCCCTCAGACAGTGCCCTGAACTAAGCTGGCGCCTGACCTAATCCTTCTGACACTTAACTGGTGGTTCTGAGAGCCTGTAAGATTTTCAGCATGTTAGTATAATTCTGAAAGCTTTGGGAGGAAGATTTTATGCGTCAGAGCCATTCTAAACTTGCCTTCATGGAGTTTGTGATAAAAGAGAAATAAATGAGAACCAACTCACTTCAATTTAGCTCAACTCAACTCAATTCAACAAAGCAGTTAGCAAGAACAAACAAGTACCTGAGATTTGCTAAGAGAATAGACCTTACATGTTCTTCTACACACACAGAAGGTAATGATGTGAGGGGATAGATGTGCTGATTAACTTCACTGTGGTAATGATTTCACTGCATAATTTTAAATATATAGTGGACCCTTGAACAACATGGGTTTGAAATGTGTGGGTCCACTTATACATGAATTTTTTTTCAATAATTTTTTGGAGACGTGCAACAATCTGAAAAAAAAAACATTTTCTTTTCTCTAGCTTACTTTATTGTAAGAATACCGAAAATAATACATATAACATACAAAATATATGTTTATCGACTGTTTCTATTTATCGGTAAGGCTGCTGGTCAACAGTAAGCTATTAGTTAGGTTTTGGGGGCGTCAAAAGTTATATGCAGATTTTTGACCACATGGGAGGTCAGCAGCCTTAACCCCTGTGCTGTTCCAGGGTCAGCTGTATCCCATGTTATTTGTCAATTATGCACCAATAAAAAAGAACCCACTAGATGAGGACACTGTGATGAACTGGACACACTCCATGAATCAGATTGCAGTCGGGAGCAGCTCTGGCTGCTCTGGACATGGTGAGGGCTCATCTTGAAAAGCTTCTTAAGCAAGGAAGGGTTCAGTAGTGCCTGGAAGGCAGGTATCAGACAAGCCTGGTGTGGCAGCTTATCAAAGTGGCCTCAGATGCCTTCCATCCCATTTGTTTGCTTCTTCACATGTGACTTTGTCTCTCCCCCAG